CAGGCTCCCTGTTTGCCCCTGTTTCTAGTCTTAATGCTGAGCTAAGCGAAATGGCTGCTGGCTCTAGACTCACATTTAATGTACAGACATGAGAGCGGTATCACTCCTCTCATCTACCTCTCGGCAAGAACACACAAACATGTCTTAGAATGTTGAAAAAAAAAATCAAATCACAGTTTAAAAGCAAGATTTACTTGTCTTGTTGAGTCCTGTAAGATTAGCAAGTGCTAGAAATTGAAAATCTTTAACTTTTTAAAGAGAACATGAGCTAAATAAGCTACCTAAAGGTTTGAGGTTTGAAAAGATGTCCTCTCAGACACCCACACACTGTGCAGAGTCTCATCAACATCTCACAAAATGTGTTGCGTCTCTCTGTCCTCGCCCCTCCTCTGCCTCATAATCAGGATTTAAAGTAATCTTTGCCATCCAAACCTGATTAATTTTACCCTGCTGACAGTGTTTGTGCGTGTGCACTGCTGTGTCTTTTTTTATACTTACACTGGGGGTGCCAAAGACAGTTATTCAGATTCTACATATAGCAGCTTCCATTAACCTTTGTTCAATTCAGCAAATTATTAGTTCGAAACGCCTTTTTATTACCTCCCTCAAGGCAGTCATGTTCTCAGTTTGGATTGTTTGTTTGGCATGGGCTAAGGCACAACATTAAATTTTTGGAGAGGATCCAAATCTCAAATGTTTTTTGTTAACCATGTGAGATCAGGCATTTGGCCTTAGTGGAGGTCTGCACTGTCCGACTGCCCTTCTAGTTTGGATCTTTCAATTAACGGACAAATTTATTCATTTAATGTACATATATTTTTTAATACATCTTTGTATTCCTTCCAGTCACTTAATTGATTTATTTAAATGTGTTTATATGTCATGAGTAAAACCTTTTTAGAGCTCTCTTTTTACCATCCAATGAACTGCTGTCAAAGCGTCACTCTGTTCTTCAGACCACTCACAGTGCACAGTCACCAAGCAGTAACCACTGGAAAATGAAGCCAAGAACTGCAGTTCCTCTGATGACCACTCGAGGCTGGATTCAAGAAAGAGTCAATCCCCATAGACCCCCATGTCAAAATGCCCAACTTTACAGCAGAAATAAACACTTTTACAGCCTGCTACAAACAATGGTTTTGGTTTCTACAGCTTATTTCAACATTTATGACATCTGTCTGGGGGTGAATTTTTATATTACTCACCTGCTTACATAGTGTCCTCGGCTTCTCAGTTGCCCCGCATCCACCATCCATTCTCATTCAAATATGGTCACTTCTGGCTCCAAAAACTCAAGATGGCGACAACCAAGATGCCGAACTCGAAGCTTCAGAAAGGGAGTCCACAAACCAATGGGTGATATCACGGTAGCTACATCCATCATGTTTTACAGTCTGTTGTCAAGACCTCTTTCATTATTGTTTGCTGCTAAATCTGAGCTGCTTAGTTGTATCTCAGTTGCGAAATTGGTTAACTAAAGCCACCTGTTGGGACATATTGCCAGAGATGTGGAACTGCATACTTACTCCTAAATCCACCAATAAGTTGTTTTATTGTTGACTTTTTCTAAACAAATATTTTTAAGCTTCTCAAAGATATTCTGGAAAAGGGAAGATGTCCAATTTCCAGGTTTCCCATGAGGGTAGGAAACTAATCACATGGCTTTTAAGATCCTGTACTGAAACCTGTATCATTTCTCTTTTTACCTGCCACAGAGAGGATTAGCATTTTCGCCTCACAGCAAGAGGGTTCCTGTTTCAAACCTGGGGTAGGGGATTAAAACCCTGGGGTGGGGGAGCCATGTCAGCATGGGTTCTCTCCAGGTACTCCAGCTTCCTCCCACAGACACAGACATGCAGATTACATTAAGTGGTGATTCTAATTGTCCGTAGGTGTGAATATGAGTGTGAATGGTTGTCTGTCTCTGTATGTGTCAGCTCTACAATAGTCTGGAGACCTGTCCAGGGTGTATCCCGCCTCTTGCCCAGTGTCAGCTGAGATAGGCTTCAGCTCCCCCACGACCCCGAACAGGATAAGTGGTTAAGGAAAATGAATGAATGAATGAATGAATGAATGAATGTTGCATTACAGTATATAAAAAAATAAACACTCATGTCAAAACATATGTACAGTTGCTTTGCTTCTTTTTATTCATTTCTTTACGTCTCCAATGTACAGTAGTGTTATTGGAAGATAAGATGACAAAAAGGCACAAATTCACAATAAAAGAAAGAAAAACAGGAGACAAGTTAACAGGAGTGAGAGATAGAGAGAGAGTCAGAGAGAGAAAGAGAGAGAAGAGAGTTTTAAAAACAGTTTGGGATTGTGGAATCATTTGGTTTCATATTCTGATTATAAATCGAGGAATCTAACAACAGATATCTATGAGATTGTCTCTGTTAAACCATGTTCTCTCACAGGTTTGTATGGTGTCTTCAGGCTCAGTTTCTGCTTTCAAACAACCACATCGAATTGTCTTTTTTTTCTGTGAAGCTATAACTCCAACCCTCCAGCACCCAGTGCACCTAAATGCAGGATAATTTCCCCTCGATTCCCCATCGCAAACCATGAAAGGGTGAAAATCTTACTTGCACCGAGGCTCCACTTACTGTAGGGCTGACACCATCAGCTAATTATGTGGATCAATGAACTGACCCAAGCTGCCGTTTATATGTTCCTTTTCAGTGAGAGAAGCGAGTGTAGTTCAGAGACTGACAACAGAGGTACAACAACACTCAGAACAAAAATATATATCTATACACTGTCCTGCCAATGAGACGTGGTCCCTGTGAGGGAAGACTGTGAGAAGGAGAGGAAATAGTGAACAGGGTTTTTGCTTCTTTTTTTTCCCTCCAACTACAAATCACATGGCAACTCTTCACTGCTTTGCTGGAGCATCCTAAAATCTGCTGCAACATTATCTATAACATTATGTGAGAATGCATTTTTTTATGTCTACAGCTGACAGTATTCCTCAAAATGTCTTATCAGCACTAAAGTTCAGCAACTATAACTCTACATTTCCTCACGATAATACCTCTGTGAGAGCAACTTGGTCACTGTGGTCTGTGTGATGCTGAATATTTAGCGATGGAATAAGAGGACTGGGTGTCAGGAAGGTGTGCTGTAGGCCTGGCAGGACAGTCTGATCTATATATATGTGTTCATCTACATTAATTTATTTACTATTTACAAGGTCAATACATACAGTACATCCACAAATCTCCATGATTCAGTTGGTAGCCCCACCACAGACAGTGAGTGAGATGCTCGATGGACACAGAGAGAGGTGGAGAGAGGTGGAAGGGTTGGACATCCAGGACCAGCGCTTTCTTTAAATAGGAGGCAACAGAAAATGTCTTATAAAATTAACCTGACATATAGATATACAGGGACATGAAGATGAGGCAATCCTAAACTATTATGCTTGAATGGTTGCCAATAATGCCCTGAGCAGGTTTTAATGGCCCTTTTTATGCCTTTAGTTTCCTTATGGCCAATAAAAGAAATTTGGATTTATTGGCTAATGTGCTTGGGCTTAAGCCAGATCGCATAAATGTATAATGATCGTACAATGGCGTTACTTCAATATTATCCTGTAAAATGATGCATAAAGTCATTTAAATTCTCCATTTCTGTGTGTAAGAGAAACACAAACGTCTGAACAAATTGAACTGATGAACATAGTTTATGTTCCTGCTAGAAATCACCTGAAAGACTTTTAGGAATTAGTTTCATCATCACTCATATAGCCCTGGAAGACTTGTGTCGGTGCTGCTCTCAAAACAAAATTCACCCCAGTTCTATGAGCAACTTTAACAAGTATATATCAATATAATGGCTATTTATTTAAAGGTGCAGGTGTGTAATGCTTGGCCACATGCTCCAAACTAATGGGGGCAGCATTTCACCTCCAAGACAACTAATAACAAACAGCAGGGCAAGACTATGGATAATTTGACCAAACTGCTGAAACTCTGAGAACCAGTGAAAATAACACTGCAGTCTTTTAATCTTCACATGTGGCAGTTTTAGCAAGATCATAGTCGCAATTAAAACCATAAATTGACGCCATTTGGAATGTTTTCGGTTCAGTTTGTGTGTGTCATTAGTTGCACTGTCTGTGTTTCATGTATCTCTCGGCTTTATGACTTTCTTTGCCCAAAAACATCAGATTGTGGACTTTGGATTCAAACAAACAACAAATGGTTAGCACAGACTTGTAGCAATACCTAGATACCAGATGCCAAGATGGCACCTATTCATTCTAATTCCAGGTGTTCAACGGGCACATACGCCACAAAAAAAAAACAACATTTTAAGCTTCTGGGTTTACTTCCATGGTATGCTAGCCTGGAAATCCAGACCCAAATTGAGAAAGGTCTGGCCATGAGTAATGCAAATGGCCCAACTTGAGGGGCGGCACCAAGCATGCATTTTAAAATATCACTGCACGCAATTGGATAACACTAGGACCAATCAGAACAATACACAGGGTGACGTATCCAGAGCCCTACCAGCGGAGCTAACTGGTAGATTAGACTCTTGCCGTATCCGGTTGGCAAAACAGCAAAAACGTCCTTCTTGCAAAGGAAAGACTCAAGTGCCGTCTTCTGTTCCTCTTTTAGAGAAAAAGCCAAGTCTAACTCGTTCATTGTATCGGGCCAAAGCCGTTTCAAACAACTGGTGTTCATCTGTAGCCATCTTGCAATGTTTACTGACTGATTCCGGACTTCGTCGTCGCAGCGCTGTCGTCATCTGTTTAGCTCGCCTCTGGCCCACGTCTATCAGATACACTGATGTGATTGGTGCAGCTCGGTTTCATGGGCATAGGTAATGAGCATCATTACTGATTGCCAGAGTGACTTGCTGAGCAAATTCAAATTGTGCTCTCGCAAGAACTCTGGATTTCCAGGGTAATGGTATGCAGCAATGTCACAGATTTTTAAATCACTTTTCTTGGCCTCGAGAACATTTTAAAAATATAAAACCTCCATGAATAAAATGACATAATAGAAAGAGTCATGATCAACCTTGTTTGCAGTTCGTGGTGTCCTGTCAACAGCATTACAGACATCCTTTTCATAATGGCAACCTACGAGGTAAAAGTTTTTTGGGCCGCAGGGGATTTTTCTGCCATAATACTGCGAGCTGCCACTGGAAAATGCTGACTGCAAGGTTGAGCAGTATTTCTGGGTGCCTGACAATAAGCCTGCAAGCTAGTTTAGCCTAGCTATCTTAGCTTGGCTGTATACTGCCTGAATCAGCCGACCTAACCACACCAGTGTTGCGGATTCCAGACCCTGGTTTGTTTGTCTGTCTGTCTGTCCATCATGGAAGATGAACTTGACGGAGAGATCAGGAGAGATCACAGGTAAAACAACAAAAACTAATAACGAACTTGATCTCTTTGTCCTCTCATGTTGGACTGATGACAGACTGGACTCTGCAGTGACTCACTATCGGCTCTCGAGGTTCAAACTGGCACGCTCATTTCAGTAGATATCTCTGCAATACAACACATATATATGTCCTTGACAAAAAGTCAGAACTCCTACTTCTTTACATTCTGTTGATGATGTTAGTTCATCTTTTCAATGTTTTAACAAGAATTCTGGCCGTATCTTACACACTGCACCTCTGACTACTGACTTAACTCAAAAGTTTAGCTGTCTTTGTAGCTTGAGTTGCTACACACCAGATAAATCAATAAAATGTGTTAAGATAACAAAATAAAATCAAAAAACAAAATAAAAAGTCCTTTAGCGGAAGTGATATTCAAACTGTTAAACATTTAATCTAATTCTGTGTGTGAATGATTATGCTTTTGTAATTATATAAACTGTGTACACAACATAAATAAATCCTCTTCAGTTTATTGATTGCCCAATTTGAGATTTGAAAACCATCCAGTTTAACGTTAATTACTATGAACTCAATCGTGCAAAAGGTTTGCTTATAGCATCTTAAATGCAGAAAATGTATGTACCTAAAACTGATCAAACCCTTGTACTTTAAGTGCCTTGACAGGAAGGAAAATTATAATTATCTACTTGTCCTGATGGCAGTTTTTTGGCTGTGACACTCTTTTTTTATGATCCAAATGTAGCCTATTACTGTAATTTCAAGCGACCTAAATCATCATTATGATTTTGGTCTTCTGACATTATCTGTTGCTTGCTCTTTAAAGTGTCGACACTGTTATCGGATGAGGAGGGAAAGTAAACAGAAGATGGAAACGAGGATAATCCAACTGATAACTGAGGACAAAGGAGGCCAAACAGACGTCAACAAGAGGAAGAAGGTAAGTGCTTGCTGTTATCGCTCCTCTAGTTCCATTACTTCCTCCCGTCTTTATCCAGCCAACATCAGATCTCTTCAAAGACACGCTACTGTACATCACTCATGTACACTCATGCATATACCGAGAAAACCACACTATTACACATGACAGGCTTCAGAATCCAGCAGGAGAGAAATCCGCCTCATCCAAAGACAAACACAATAAAACCAGCATTTAATAAATAAATAATCAACAACGGAACAATCCTTGACTTTCAGCTCGGGCTCTGCTTTGCTAAAACTGTTTTCAGGATATAGGAACAAACAGATTAGATTTGCAATGATAAAAAGGAGAGACCAACGTGTCATGGTAGTTATTGCTATCGCTGGATAAGACCATTTATCCACTGGAGGTGACAGAATGGGTGACAGGGCAAGAACTGATGCAGATCACATGAAGTTTTACTTTCAAAGACCTATTTATCTATCGACAGCGAGCGGGAGGAGCTGTGTATCCATGATGGCTGCTAATGTTAAAAACACTGACATGGTAACAAGATTGCAGCCAAAAGGATGCTAGGTCTGTAGAAAGAAAGACTCATTTATGGCTGATCTTGTGTGCATTCCCCTTTGCAGAGTGATACGTCTTACATCTATCCTTATCTGTGTCTGTATGTGTGCGTATGCATTACTGTATGTTTCAATTACTGCACTTTCAAGTGGCCTGTTTGAACAGCCTGATAAAACCGAAGAGTTAAAAATCATCAGGAGAGAGAAAAATTAAAAACATTGCTGGAAACCTTGAGACCCTACCACGCAACGGAAACACACACACACACACACACACACACACACACTCACACTCACAAAGCAGCAGAAAAGCCAATGAATGCCTCAACATATTAAGGGAGATTCTGGGAAGAAATCCTATCTGGTAGGTATACTGGAGTACAGCAGAGACAATGTAATACTCTCAGCACAATCCCAACCTCACAGCTGCGGTATGTAGATTCGCAGATTGATTTTGAACAACAAAAGGAAACACTGCAGAAAGCATGACACAAATGGAGAAGAGGAGGTATTATGACAAATAAAAGAAACAATCACAGGATCAAAACTCAACACTGAGCAGATACAGCTTGATCTGGAAAAAATAAACATCCACAGACAAACTTACAGACAAAATCCTTTTGAAAAACCCTGTTTATATATATTTATATATATTTATATTTATATATATATATATTTCAATACAATTATTCAGCTCCCCGATATACGGTATACTGTATATACACCATTGGGATATCTTAAATAGAAATAAATCCTAAATTGCAGAGACACTATTCTCTGTAGTTTAGAACGGTTTAGAGACTGAGAGAGAGGACTGACTGACAAGATCTATAGTGTTGCTACTGGAGGCCTCAGAGCAGTTAATGAGATGGGGACACTGGATGGAGAAACAAATAAGAGATGGATGGGACTCAAGGGAGGCGGGATGTGGTGGAGGAGATCAGCTTAAAACTGGGAGTTTACTGGGTCCAGGTCCCTGAAAACCAGATTGTACCAGGGGAGAGGGGCAGGGGGAGGGTGTTTGGACCGGCCGGTCGGGTGTTGAGTCGGTTGGAGTAGGAGGAGGATGTGAATCCGCTGGTGTCTGGGTAGTCTGGTCTGAAAGAGATAGAAAGAGTGAGAGCATTAACAAGAGGAACTTTCTACTGTCTGATGTGACCAAATAATCCATCAGTCAAAAAGGCCAAAAAACCCAATGCAGCTATTTACACCCTTGTGTATATTAAACCTGGTCTCACACCGAAGTTGTCTAAATCAGTGACAGTGACAGACACAGACAAAAAAAGCCATCCTTTAAAGTTGGCATGTTATGCAGCCAGTAGCAATTAGCCCTTAACGAAAGTAAACACGGTGAAAGTCCGAGCAGGGCAAGCATGAGGGGTGGCGTATGGGTCCAACAAACACCAACTTTCAACTTGTCAATTTGCGCATTTATTTTGAAGAAGACAGTATATAAATGGTACATTTCCTGTGAAAATGGAAGTGTATTTTGAAAGAAGACAATGCATGTAACAAACATTACTTGACACGGCGTCCCAGAACATCAACAACCATCATACTTCATAGCTGGATGTGAAAGGTCCATGACCAAAGGTCGATAGGTGATGAGGTCGGAGTGAGAATGTGTTGGTATATTCCTAGGTGTCCTAACGTCGTTAACTCAAACAGGTCTATTAAGCTATTCTGCTGATGTTTGTGCACAGTGTGCATTCAGCAGCTTTATACATCCTGAAAACTGAGACAGTCTAAAAATAATAAGCCAACATTGACTCAAACCGCAGTGTCCTGTGTGAAAGTCCTGTGCTTGACCCACCACATCCTGCTCCCCTTGTAGTTTTGCTCTTTACAGTATGTCACCTGACATTCTGGCAGTGCATTTGTGAGTTTTTTCGTATAATTTTACCACTTTTGTCTCAAAAAATATCTGAGATTGGAAAGTACTATTCCTAACCATGACCTCTTTTGAAATTTACTTTTAAGAAAGGTGATATTAAAGGTATTGTGCATGCTTTTAACTGGTTATTAATATTGCGTGTGCGTGCATGAGTATGAGACAAATAATCAGTACATCTGACTTAACAAAATCTTGTCTGCCTCTCTCAGCACTCTGTTTCCTGAAGTATGGAAAATGTCACATTCTCATGTTTCTTGTCTTGCGTTTCCTGTTTTATTTTGAAACTCACGTCTTGTCTCGTTTCAGGTCTCTTCACTTCCTGCTCCCTTGTGTTTCCCGCCTGTTTGATTACCTGCATGTGTCCTAATGTGTCACACCTGTGTCTCGTTGTCTCCCCTATTTAGTCTCTGTGTTTCCCTTTGTTTGTGCCAGTTCATCTTGTACTTTGAGTCAGCGGTCCAGCTGTTTCTTTGTTAGTTCGTTTACCTTGTGATACTGACCAACTTTTTGGATTTCTGGATTTTGTCTAAGAGGCCGTTTACACGTACACGGTGATTTTGATAAACGGAGACATCTTCCTTCGTTTGTGCCCTTCGTTTACACGCAAACGGAGATTTCTCCTCTGAAAACGAGTCTTTCTAAAAACTCCGGCCAGAGTGGAGATTTTGGAAAACTCCGGTTGCGCGTTTGCATGTAAACTGAGATAAACGCAGATAAACGGAGTTATAGGCAGCCCACGTCACAGTATGCGCCGGAACTTGCGCCTGTGTAAAAGTGCGACCTATGTTGCTATGGTGACAATGGATACATGGAAGGCTTGAGCTTCTCGTTACACTGCCACCTACAGGTTTGGCATGCTCTTGTGTGTGTATATATACACGGGTAAGTGTAAACGAAGATCTTTTTGAAAACGGAGACGGTGAAATGTCCGTTTATGAAAATAGCCGGCGACGTGTAAACGGCCTCTAAGCCTGTCCTTTTTGGATACCTTTGCTTGAGTGACTGACATCTGTGTACCGAACCTAGCTTGAAATTAAAGGACCTTGTTTTGAACTGTAGTCTGTCCCCGAGTCTGCATTTGAGTCTCTTTTGGTTCAGTGTGATAGAAAATAGTTGAAAATGAGAAGCAAGTAAACCTCTCTGTCTCCCACATAGGACATGGGTTAAAATGTGTACTTTGAAAGGCTTAAAACTAACTTACACTTGTGATTTTATTATAACAAAGGCCAAGACTCTCATAAATAAAAACCATCATCATTAAGAACACAAACTATATGTCTTTGTAAATTTAAACACTTATCTCCCTCAATGCTAAAAACTTTCTTCAATTCACATTTTCGAAAAGACATAAGATGTGTTCTTTTGTGCATTACATCACAAGAAAGACCAGCATGTGCTCCTCACAGTACATCAGGACTCAAATAAACAGCATGCATGGTGCATGGTTTGTCTGTCTATGGTGGTGCATAGACAAACAAATACTAAGGCAGAATGAAATGTCCCACAAAACAATTGAACTCCTCTCACCTGATGAGCAGCAGCATTCACGGTCCAACACAACCTCAGTCCTCTAGAGCCACCATCCCTTTAACTGGGTCCTTCACTCTCATCTGATGCACATAAGAAAAACAAATCACGCACAGAAATGTTGCAGCTGAGTTATAATTCACATTCCCAATCAAACATGAGAGTGTGCATGTCCTCAGAGTTTGTCCTGTTTCAAGACTCTTAGATTATGGCTGAATTACTTAGTCTTACTAATATGTTTACTGTCATACAAACACATGTTTGCTCACCTCATCTAGCTCCCTACGTGTCTCCTCCTCCATGCGACGAATGTCTTCCATGTTCAATTCAATCCATTTGTCGATCCAGCAGAACAGCTGACGGTGGAAATTAGTGAACAAACGCTTCTCTTGCTGTGAAACAACATATAAGGAGACAGTTATGTTGTAGTTGAGGAAAGAAAGCAGATTTTTTCCAAATTATAAAATCAAGATGTTTGACTCTAAAAGATGTTGCTTTACCCTGTTTATCCACTAGAGGCTGGTGCAGCCCATATGTACAGGTCATAGTGGGTGGTACTTTTCCACTATAACCTAAAGCTACCAAGATGTGAGACACTGTGTGTGCTGTTTGCATGCACAGGATATGAGACACTATGGCCCAATGGTCCTTAACATACACAACCAAGGACTGTCCAGAAAGGGGAATAACACAAACACTGCTTTCATATCATGTTAAACAGCTTGTCAACAATCCCTCCTTGGCAGCTGACACCGACCTCTGGCTACCTGGATGCCATATTGATCATAAAGTGACAAACCACAGTCTGAAGTGTAAACAAACCTTTTGAATGAAGTTCTCCACTTTATTTTGCAGGCCCCACCACTTGAATTTGACAGTGACCAGTTTGTAGGCACACATGTGTGGGCAGTCTGTCTTCTTATGAAGTTCTTTCTGCGATTGCACAAACATAAATACAGGGATGTTTGAGTTGTGAAACAAAGATTTCTGGGTTGTAAAATACGCTGCACAAAGGTTCAAGACTTTCTATTTATTTTTAGTTTTTAATCTGTTACACTCAGGGCCATAGCCACAGTTTTACAGATAATTAGGTACTGAGTCAGCCCCTAAAACTTTACAATTATTTGTTTTTTCATATTTTTTAAATTAGTGTTTTAATGTTTTAATTCTAATGTTAGTAAATTTAATAGCACCAAAAAATACAGAATGCAGAAAAACTAACAGCAGTCGCTCATCTACAGCAAATCTGAAACATACTCTGGTTGGCTGCAAGACAACCCTGACGCAAGGTCATTATACCAATCAGGTGCTAAAGCATCTAGCAGCTACCTTGGAGACCAGACAGACATCCATCAATGCCCCACCTCCTCCATCATTCCATCCGGCAATTACAAGAGGGTTTGTCTGTGAGGGTGAGCTCACTGTGCCCTGGGAGGATGCTGTGGAGGAGGCCTATGAGCGCAAGAGCCTTAAGTACACCGAGCTGGCAGCTGACGTCAAGCCCAACGTCAGGCCATCAAAACCCTTTGGCGCAGGTGAACAAGCAAGCCGGTGGCTATGGATCAAGAGGAGGGACACTACTACGCTACTCAGCTGGTCCTAAAACACTACGAACAACAGCAAGGCTCAAGGGAGTTAAAGCAGAGGGGAGTGCACCTGGGACACCAGGTGAGCCCTTTGGAGGTGTTGTGGGCCTATCATCTGGTGATGGTTCTGCCTTCCCTATGCCCCTTCTTACTTTTCTATCTACCAGTGCTCTTTCCTACTTTTCTATCCACCTAACCTTAACCCTTTGGCACCCGTTCGGAAATCCCCAGACAACAGTATTACTCCCACTCATGGCCTCAAGCATGTCCATCAAGGGGTTGTAACATCTAGTCCTATAATTGAACTCTTTCCAGAAATCATGAACCCCATTTCTCAAGATAATCCACAGACCTTGTTATGAGCAGTTTCATGTAGGAACTATTTTCTTTCAACCCAACTACACCTGCCAACTGTATCACTGTGCAGAAGGAAAGGGACATTGCTGCTGAGTGTCATCTAGTTCCATTATACTGAAGAGAAGGCAGACACCTCTACATTTAATATCTTCAAAACACAGCTACTCACACTTTCACGATCATAAATAGCACCACAGGTAAGAGGAAAAATATGTATATTTGATTTTAGGGTGAACTATCCCTTTAAAGTCTTTCAGCGCTTTCTACACACTACCAGCAATTACATTGGTGGGAAAACAATAAATCCTTTTTGTATTTATCTATTTATTTATTTGTTTTCTTGCATAAAATAGCCAAATTGAAATATTTTGATCACAATGTTTGTCCTGTACCAAGTATTTCAGCACAAACTAAACATCATAGTTGCTAAGCAACAAGTGTCAATGGGAGTGTTTTTTTTTTTTTTTGGCACATTAATAATTAACAATAATGTGGCTGGAATTCTGTGTTTAGTTCAGTGGCTTCGAATGTGTCTAAATCTACTGAGAAATTAACAGCAAGACGCTGTACCTTCCAGTCTGGTCCTAGAGGGCCCCGTCCTGTCTTCACTGACTTGTACTTGCAAGGGTCCTCCTCTGGCTTGTAGTCCTGGAGAGAGGCAAGAGAAAATAACAGAATGAACATCATGGATAAGGTGACGATTAAAAAAAAGCAAACAATGTGGTCTCTGTAATCATCTCAGTGTGGATCTTGAGGAAAACATTTTCACCTTTGGCTCAACTTGGGTTCTGTCAGCGATATCAATATAGACTACATCCACCTTCTTCCAGGTTTCTGGATCCAAACCGTGTACCTGAAACAGAAGCACAGAGCACAGCTGGATACAGGCACAAGTCTCTGCAGGCAGCTCACATACAACAGAGGCGAGAACACGGTGCTCAGGGGGAACATTATTTTGAAAGCCCATATGATGCAAGTAAAAATAATACATGGGCGACACATTTCTCTGGTAATTAGCAGAGCTCTTTTTTTGCACTTTTGCATGCTCACAGTTCATGATCATATTCATTTATATATAGAGGCACTATCTCAAAGTAATTATAGGGGATGGGATTGTTCTTGTGCTGCACATGAATTCATAGAGCAATTTTTAATTAGAGGACAAGTAGAAATGGGGAATCTCACTAAACAGCTCACAGTAGGAAGCGCATAATAAACAAAAAACATCCATACAAGATTCAAGATTCCTTTTATGATATCAAATCAAGCATTAGTGGTGTAAAATGAGCACTTCTTTGCCATGTGCACTGTTTAAAGTCATCCCAAAATGTACATTAAAATGTCCTCATGCTGCTCAAACACATGCATGCACCTGCTCAGCTCATTACAGTCTTTGCTAATTACATTTTCGAGGTGTCCCATGTCAGGTTTGTGCCATGTCTCGATCTTGATCAGGAAGTTTTCTTTCATATACTCGTTCTGCAGAGAAAACAGAAATAATACTGAGTGAAGAGAGAATCTACAGAATAAAATTTAAGCAAGTATAATTGACACAGGTGGGTCTCCTGCTCTCATACACACACACCAACACAAACACATAAACACAGTAACAGTGTTTGACTGTCGCTGCTGCTACTGCTGCTGCTGTGTTGCTGAAATAGATCAAATTTCTTTCTCAACTTTCAGGTTAATGTGCTCCCTCTATGGGCATCACAGTTTCATACATGAAGTCTGTGAGCGTAAAAGAAAAAATACTTACAGTGATTACTGCAGAGCCAGATGAAAGACAGCACAGGAGCAAACATGGAGAAAGAAAAAAAAATGCAGTTAAGGAACATATGAGAAAATATAATAGCATTTACAGTACTGGACAATATACAGAGGTCAAGGGGAATCGTTCAGCAATATCTGTGACTGAATAGTGTGTGTGTTCAGGTTGTGCCTTCGACTGTTCCGTGTGTTTCTATGAAAGATGGCTGTCGAGCAGCTGCTAGTGCGTGTGATCTCAGCCTGAAAGGCTCGAGTGATTGCTCGGCTCTTCTCACTGGACATGCGGTTAATAATTCAACTACTCCTTCAAGGTGACAGAGATACAGAGAGAGAGAGAGAGAGAGAGAGGTGCTCAGAGAAGGACAATCCCTTTGACAGATCAGCATCTATGTGTCCTCTGAGTCATTTGAGTAAACTGTATTCACACAAGTGCACTGAAATTGTTTTCTGTGGGACAGATCTCAAACACCAAATATATCAATACGGGCATGGTTGCAGCGTCCAAAATTATTTTTGAAGCATTGGAAAATAGCTAATGCTCCATATTAAAAAAAATGAGTACATGCAGTTGTAGAGATTAGATCCTATGAGTTGACGCTCAATAGACTAAAAGGTAGTTTGGAAGATGGGACTTCTTCCAGTGACCTCTGTTTGACTTTTATATTGATGGAGTGCCTGTTAAGATCTTAACCATGGCCAAAATGTCCTGACTGTGACATCTTTTCATTTCATTGTGGACTGAATCTCTCCCCTCTGTATGGGCTACTTATTTTCATTCATTAAAATTGTGTGTCATTTCCTACACCATATTTTGATACACTGTCTACCCCTGTAACCCTAAAATGATATGATGGTTACAACCCTTTCCTTAAATTTTTTAAAAAAACAATGACTACTTAAAGGCCAACAATATCGATGACACTATTTTTGGTGTACCACTAAAGCCTTAGTATGAAAATAGTATGTAGCGTCACTACGGAAACATATTGCATTCACTTGACAAATAAAAAAAATCTGTTTTATTCAGTAATTTTTTCTGTTTTTCGGAGTAATTTTTTTATTTTTCTGTTTTTCGGTGTATTTTTTTCTGTTTTTCTGAGTATTTTTTTCTGAGTTAAGAGAGCAATAGAACAACAGATGCTTTCATTCCTTTCTTGAGAGCTCGATAAAAGACAAGAGTATCTCCCAGTGTTTCAAACCCAAAACAAAGTAAAACTGGATTAAACTAAACAAGTTGGTCATGTTTGCTTCCATTATATCAAGCTCTCAAGAAAGGAATGAAAGCGTCTGTTGTTCTATTGCTCTCTTAACTCAGAAAAAAATACTCAGAAAAACAGAAAAAAATTACCCTGAAAAACAGGAAAAAATTACCATGAAAAACAGAAGAAAAAACATACCATGAAAAACAGAAAAATAAAAAAATTACTCCAAAAAACAGAAAAAAATTACTCAATAAAACAGATTTGTCAAGTGAATGCAATACGCTTCTGTAGCGTCACATAGCCTATATATCACTGACTATAATTGCTTTTCCTCAGCCCTTTCATAGATGACGCTGCCTGCATTTTTGTATGAGGTTTATGTGTATGTGCAGAATGTGTGTTTGAGTACAGTATGTGTGTGTGTGTGTGTGTGTGTGTGTGTGTGTGTGTATGCGTGCTACCTGTGCGACAGTATGGGTATGCGTTCCAGGCTTTCTCGTGGATGTTGAGAGCTGAAGCTGGAGCCAACATTCTGACGAATGACGGCACTTTACTGCAGGACACAGGAGTGAAGACAGAACAGACGTAGATAAGTCTAATGGTATTTTAACAATTGTATTTTTTTTTACTTATTTAACAATATTTCAATATTACACAGACACAAAGCAAAGTTAAACTACAGTTACAGCCTCACGATTGTATGCCTCTGCGTACCACTCAAGTTGCACTTACAGTTTGCATTCATGTCTGTGAAAACATGGATGCTTCACACACTTCCCCCTCCCTGGCAGCACAGAAGATCTACACAATCAGTAAAGTTTCAAGGTGGACACCCAAGATTAGTGTCACCAGTTAAGTATCTTAACAAATGTGTCCCCTTCTGTAAATGAGTTATGACGCTGACTAATGGCCAGAAAAGTGTTTTTGCACAACAATATGATGTCATATTGAAGCTGTCCCTTGACCTTTTGGATATAAAATGTTATCACTTCATCATTTTATTCTATAAGAGTTATGGCCAAAAACAGGTTTCATGAAGTCATGGTGACCTTGATATTTGACCTTCAACTACCAAATTGTAATCAGTTCATTCTTGAGTCCAAATGGACAAGGTCACAGTGACCTTTACCTTTGACCATTAAATTCTTATCGGTTCATCCTTTGCTCAAAGTGGATGTTTGTGCCAAATTTGAAAAAAATCTCTCAAGGTGTTCTTGATATATTGCATTTATGAGATTGTGACAGATGAGGTCAGAGTGACCTTGGCCTTTGTCCTTTGACCACCAAAATCTGATCAGGTTGTAAGACATTTGACAATTGTAGACATTTGTGCCAAATTTGAAGAAATTCCTTCCATGTGTTCTTGAGATATCGCGTTCATGAAAATGGCACCTCAAAAAATCAAGATTAGACTTTGGTGTACACTGTGTGATTAAATGGTGATTAGCTGAGCTTATGTTAGCTTAGGTTAGCTTAGCTTAGTTAAACCTAAAAACTGGAAGCAAGGGGAAACAGCTAACATGCTAAACTAAAATGGTAAACATGGTAAACTTTAGGCCTATACCTGCTTAGCATCAGCATGCAAGCAGTTATTGTGTGTTTATTAGCATGTAACGTTAGCATTTAGCACAAAGCACCATGTCTGATTTAAATTTTAATTTAAACAGAGCCAGGGTAACTGTTGGTAAATAAGCAAATAAACCTACTTCTTAAAATATCTAACTTTTACTTCAAAAGTAGGTTTTTGGCTACTAGACGGTTTGGAGTGAACCAAGAAGAAGACTTTAAAGTGATGGGAAAACAGACTGAAGCAGAGAAATGTATAAATGGATGGGAGCTAAGAGATGTGACCTCAAGGGAAAGATAAATGAAGTAGTCTTCCCAAGTGAACTTTTGAACCTGTCGGACAACCACTTACCTCTGCAAATGGTAAATTTTGTGTGTGTACTGTCCCTTCTCTCCCTCTTTCTCGTAGGGCTCATTTTTTAGCACCTCCACTCCTTCTCCTCCACCCGTTTCATTCTTACTGGCCTCGGCCACAGAGTACAGCTGGCCGACCTGGTACTAAAAAAACAGAGAAGAAAAAAATCAAGTTAGACTGAGGGAGAAAGAGCGTTTAAAGGAAGAAATAAGGAACTGTGTCCCAACATGTATTATCCTCTAGATGAATGAGCTTTCACAGTCACGTCTTTTTTTCATGTTTATTTCATCAGCTCATCTATTTCAGTCTCAAATAGTGGATTACTTTTTCTTCTGATCCTTTTCCTAAACTCGACCTTCTCCTTTCCGCGTCCCTGAATCCTCATAATCTCTCCCGTACACTCTTGTTCTTGACCTGTCAACTTTTTTGTTGCACCCGGCTTGTTTCCTCTCTGTACACTTCCTCCTTCTTTCATCCCTCTCTTCCTCTTATTTCCCATCTTCCTGGTCTCACGTGTGCATGCGAGTTTAAAAACAGGACAATGGCTCCTTTCATTTCTTAATCACCTCTAATCCGCAATGTAACCTCTGCACAAAGCTGAACCAGAGCGCAGACACACGTACAACATCACAGAGATGGAAGAAGTTGATGTGTTATTCATTTTCACAGGAGAGAGATTACAATTATTCTTTCTATTCTATCAACTTAAATATATTAATGTAGTATCAAACCATGAGAATAATATAGGTTACCTTCTTACACACATAAAACAATGCAACGACGTCCCCAGACAAACCCACAGTTTAGGAACCAGAGTGGATTTGACACTGAAATGTCTGCATTAGTTAAAAGCTCATTAGTCATGTTGAAGAAATACACACAGTGTGATGAGCCTGTCACAACAGATTTTTTTGTAAAGTTTCTTGATTGCGCACAAGTCACAACTAAGTTTGACAGAACGTCTCTCTATGGAGTTAAATGGTGAGTGAATGCACTCCTGCTGATTACTAAAATATGGAAACAATAACTGAAAAATCAGAAATAATAAATCAGTTAATGTATAAAATAGGGCCCGACTGATTTATTGGCCGGCCGATTTAATCGGCCGATTATAGCCAATAGAGAATAATCAGCAATCAGCCAAAAGTTGGCCGATTGACGCCAATCTTAACACTTATATATTTTCATCACTAATAAAATGCAAACAGTAACTTTTACCCACAAAATATAAATTCACTCTTACAATAAGAACTCTGGTACTGTGAACATACATGTGAATGTCTTAATTCATATAGACTTTGCATGATTATTTTATTTCCCAGAGGTTTACTGCCTTTTTGCACATGATGATTTATTTTGTGTTCAAATTGTTCATATGCTGCTTGTTCCACACATTTCCTGATAATAAAAGTATTTGAAAATAGTAAAATGTAAAATCTTCAATTTATATCTTTGTAACGAGTGTTTGAACTATATTTAAGCCATCAAAAGCAGGTATTTCGGGGGTTTTTAAATTGAAAAATGTAAAAATTTAATCGGCTGATATATCTATTATCAGATTTTTTTATTTCATAATATCGGAATCGGCATCTGCCCCAAAAAATCCATATCGGTCGGGCCCTAGTATAAAAATTAGCAGGGACAATAAATGAAAGAGACAAAATGAAAAATAACAAAAATGTATATATAAAAATTAAACTAGTTAAAGTTCTGGTACTTAACTTTTACTTAAGTAAAAGTTTAAATAAACTACAATAGAAACAATTTCTAAAAAAGTCTTGTGACCGTAATTACTTGTGGACTGTTGTCGCTGCTGTCTATGAGGACATTAGTTTATCCACCCCACTTTTACTGAAAAAACAACTACATAGGTCGTCTGTGCAAGAAGCTTATTACGAACCATACTTAAATTAATGTAAAGGCGGTATCCTCTTGTGACTATAGTAATTATTACAGAGGAGGAATTGAGGTGATGCAGTATAAAAAGCGACAGTGTGTGTAATGTTGTATAAAGAAAAAGGCCCTATAGGGTGGGGGGGAGGTCTGGTGAAAGGGTCAATAAGCACAAGACTTTTACCTATGAGACCAGTGTTCATAGCAGAGTACATTAGTATGTGTAGCATACTATGCTAGTGACATATGTGATGTATGACATTTGTCACTTTACATTAGTAACAACAGTACTTATTTAAAGTCAAACCTTGATGTTTTTTTCTACACTTAACCACTTTGCCTAAATCTTTTTTCTAGCATAACTGTGACTGTTTCATTATGTGTTTAAAACAGCAACCCTTAGGACCGTAATGTAGGTCATTTCGAAAGGTGGTCATGTATGTTGTCATGGAAGTCAGTGGAAGTTAGGGTTGCAACATTATACCGGTTTAAAGTTATACTGTGATATTAAAATTGATGGTAATCATATTGTGTGCATTTGCTTATCTGCGATATTGAAAAAAAATGCAACTGGACAGAAAATCTCAACTTCATTTTAGGTAATTTCAAGAGGGGGATTTTTTACATATACTTCCTTTATCAAAACTGTTTCATGATTTAAATATAGTAGTAAAATGTTTGTTTAACCAAAAGTAACCCTTCTGATTTAATTCATTCAAGGGTCATTCTGACATGTAATAATAATTCTGTAATACTGTGAAACCGCAATATTTTCTGAGGCGGTTATTGTACTGTGAAAATCTCATACCATTGACACCCTCGTGGAAATGTTTTGGTGTGCTGAAATGTTTTCTATCAAACACCATTGAAGCAACAATAACTCTATAGTTTGCAGGTGCAGGCACTTGATTAAGCCTACAGCGGAGGTCTTCACCTTGAAAAACAAGAATACACAAAATCATCTCCTTTATGTACTGAACATATGCAACATAATTTCAGGTTCAGATTTTGCAATTACAGCTGCCAAAACATCTTCAACAGACCTACTTTAATATTATTCAGTGTTAAGTTGCTTTTCCTCCATAAGGAACATACATATCAATTAATTTGACTGTCTGAGGGAAATGTGAAAGCTCTAGGAGCAGATTCCCTGAAATTTGTGAGACCAGTAACTGGCCGTAGGCATGCACAGAACTGATTAGACTTTGGTAGTAATTCTAGATAACTCATATGTCATTATAGCCATAACTACGGAATTAAGAGTGATAGTGAATTGAGGCCAAATCCTAGATATATATGCAGTGGGACTGGATGGTTACACTTTGATCAATACCCACATCCAATATTTAATGGCAAGTACTCGCTGTGTTCAGAACAACAGTGTCAGATGTAAGTCCTGTATCAACTGCATCAATTGTTTTAGCTACCTTACAGCCCAGAAATACATGAAGTGGACACCATATTATGTGGTGGTGGGCATGAAATGTGCTAAATCATGTGCTGGCACATAAAAACAATGCCAATGTAAAGTCAATGAGGATCTTTTGTCATGGTGGACACAAAACTTCAGTATAAAGAGCAAGAAAGTCCACGTAGGGCTGGTAGGAGGGGTGGTGGATGGGTCAAACAAATAACTGTCCCGTGTGAGACCAAAGTCAATGTACTGACATGATTTCACAGATTTATTGTAACTACACAAAGAACTCTGCTGACATACTTTACATAACTGCAAAGTACTTCAGTTCACATCACTTACTTACTCAGTACTTAGTAGTTTTTTTTTAACCAAGTTTTTTTTGTTGTTGACCAAACTGTGACCATAGTTTCACAATTAAACAACAACCGTTCATAACAGACTTTGCATTGGCATTGTTTTCATGTTGCCAGAGAGTAATTTTAACATATTTCGCACCTGTTAAGAGGTTGTGTCCATTTCACATGTTCCTGTGAGACTGTTGTACTGTAGGACTTTTGGATGTCAGGGGATTGACTACAGAAAATCATTTTGACCTTTTGTGTGTGTTTAAAAGGTCACTCCTCCACGCCAACAGCAATGAAAGACAAAAAGACAAAGACCCAGAGGTGCAGAACTGATTTAAATGACCTTCACATAATGTGAACAAAGTTCACAACAAAGTTATAATTGTGACCATGATGGTCTCTAGATTGCATTACTCGCCAAACCTGGAGAGCAATGGAGAGACTGTTCCCTCAAGTGAGCTGCAGACACCGCAACTGCCGACTAAATAAATGGGATGCAGGAACAGCAAACCCTCCTGGGTAACAGTGTTGGACAAATATAATTCAGCCTTGCCCTTGTGAGGTGAGTCCATGATGGGTTATACCAGAACTTCCTTCTTTCACAAAAAGAAAACACAGATAAAGCTTTGGTTTCAAATCAGCTCCCCGGAGGAAGTTAACAGACAGGAAATTCAATTCAGTTGACTCTCCAGGGGCTTCAACAGCTGGAACAGCCTCAGTCAACATGTACTCCCCAAAATAAAACCTTTGTTCAAAGAGATTAATCCATTGTCATCTCCAGGGAGGATACAACTGCTGTGTTTTTTGAAAGTAATCAAATTTAATCAGTGAAACAATTGAAAAGGAAGGAAATCAAATTGCTGATGGATTGAATCACGACACCCCAAGTGTGGTTTGGTGGCACATTACTGAAAACTTCAGAGAGATGGGAAGTAGAGAGGGAGACAGATAATAGAAAAGACGAAGCTCTGGAGGGATGTGATTCAAGGGCAGAAGGGGCACACGTGGTTCAAGAGACAGGGGACATTACTCAACTGTATTCAGGCTTTTTTGCTCATATTTTAGGCCCAATGCCATTTCTGTTTTCACCCCTTCCTTTCATTTTTGAGTGCTCCTTTGCCTCTAAGAACAGATTTGTTCCAAGAGGCCAGACTGCAAGAGTTAGGTCTACAAGGGGCAAGGGTTAAATCTTATCCTGCGAAATGGGCCAGCCCTTCAAGACCGTGACATGTCATCGGTAGTCGTCGATGCCAGCAGATGCGACAAGTGTTGTCGGACATTGCAAACATGCCATCGTCTTCTTTGGTGATTTCTCTTATATAGGCTATAGGCAACCTTCAGCGGTTGACAGGACACTTGCGTATTGTTCAAAACTTCAGTTTTATGCTACCGATCTATTAAACAAGGTATCAAATAAAGGAATAAAAAATAATTTAAAAAAAAACACTGCTTAATTACCAGGCCCCCAGGATAAACGCCAGGCTCTGAAGCCAGTTTTCGTAGTGGCTAAACAGTGGTACTGCTATTTCCGGGGTCTGTCAGGTGATGCCCTACGGCCCCAAAATACTTTTTCACATCGACTTACATTGGGAGAGAGACGCAAAATCAGGATTTGATCCACTCAGTCAGATAAAATTTCGGAGGTCTAGAAGAGCTGCAAGATTCAATCAAGATTCAGTAAGACCTTTGGCCGCTTTCAGTAGCACAGTGCTTCAACAGTGGAAAGAGCTGAACATCCCCGGATCATCCATGTCATTTTCTACACAGCAGTTGTGCTACAGTATTTTTGCGTCATGTCTCATAAGAAAGAACGGGGCCCTACTTCCAGTGCTGTATCCAGTTCTCCATACACAACAATGTTCATTATCAGGCCACTAGTGGTGCTCTGTAGGCTACCGTTAGCGACCCCTGCTCCTTCCCTACCATTCTGCAATGATATCACAGAATCTGTAACAAGTGCACCAACTTCGCTGCTGGACTTTAAATTTCAGGTGTCATATGCCATCAAAAGGGGGATGAATGTGATTTCTCGCTCAAACGCTTGGTTTGGAGTGTTCTTTTGATGGGCCAACACTCCACAAGAGTTGGGAAACCCTACTCCTACACATGATCATGCAAAACAATGGAGGGGTAAGGGCTGAGTGGTTGGGTAAAGGGGTATATTGGGATTGGGCTTAAGTCTCTTTTACTGTGTTTTCCACTGTGACATAGCATGCTGACTGTCACACAGTTTCCAGGCCTCCGGCTCTAGAGGAAACCCTCATTATGTCGAGATATGATTAAGATAAAGGCTACAAACACAAGCAACGTGTGTAGATCCAAAGCCTCTATGAGCCAAAGGAAATGCAAGCGGAAGCATTCATGGCCATGTGGTTTTGAGCTGGAATAAAAATGAATACACAAAAGTATAAGCACACATCTGAGAAGTCACTAGATATTTCTCAGATCAGCTTTTTGAGATCCTGTGGCTGATGTTGCATTGATGTGACACAACAGGCAGTTGTTGCAGTTACTGTGTCTCTGAGCACTCACTGCTGCTTTACGCTCATACTTGAAGCTGTTTGTTGTGTGTGAGAGCAGATTGAGTGCTTGTTGGCTACAGCAGTCAATATTTATTCATCAGTAATAAACAGCACAAGTCAAACGTCAAAAAGTAGATTGCACTCATGTTAGTGCATAAATATGAGGTAGACAGCGAGGTGGTTGGGTGGGAGCGCAGAGGAAGTCATGGCAGTAGTTTCAGGTGACTCATTTACGATGCTCATCTGAACAGAGGAGCAAACTGCAATGGAAATGAGGATAGGAGGGGAAGGAGGGACACAGAGAAAAGAGGACGAGGACAGTGAAAGACTGTGCTGACTGTGTCGCTTCAAAGCTCTATCTGATTGAAAGGCTCTTTACAACACGATGATGAGTTTTGCTCACAAGGTGATCCCTGCTGCACTTTTTTGAAATGCATGAAGTGGACATGTGATATATCACTTTTGAAAATATAAAAGGTTTTATGTGTGTATTAGAACATAAATGTAAACACATATTAAAGTCCAAAGGCCACTCCAAAAAGGGCAGCTTTACTAATGGCAGGCACTTCACTTTGAGCCAAAGTGAACCAAAGAATGAGATAACAAAAGGTGAGCCTTGAGCCATTTTAGCTAACACACACACACACATACACTGAAATGTACCGAAATGAAACTTACCTCTTCCACAGAGATAGGAAGAATCACTCGACTGTAAGAGAAGGGAAAAAAAGTAAAGTTACTTAAAAATTCATGAAGTAACAATCAGATACAGTAATTCAACTTTGACCCAATACAGTAATACAGTAAAAAAAACTTGATATTAAGATACAAAAAGGTTTTTTTTGCCTTAAAAAGGAGCAGTGTGTAAGATTTAGGGGATTTAGTAGCATCTAGAAGTGAGGACTGCAGCTGAAACTTCTGCCAGTTAGGATTCCTTCAGTGTTCATTACTCAGGAGGTTTTCAGGAGCCGAATTATCCATAGAGATCTCAAACATCTTCAAAACATACAAACCAGATGATTTAAACCGGTAAAAACACTGAATTAAGCAGTTTCATGTTGCAAATCGATGTTTCTGAGACCCTGTTCCCAATGCCCAAGTATCCACAGAGGTCTCTTTCTCTCCAAAACAAATTGACCCGGTGATTTAAACTGGTATTAACACTGAAAAAATCTGTTTCATGTTAGAAATCTGTTTTTCAGATGCTACTTATTGATAACTACTGTTACCTGTGGCCTTGTGGGTAAGCTGTGAGGATGTGACGTGTACTTCAGTGTGTGTATAGAGGGAAGCAGCTCTCTCGGGGTGTCATGGTGAAGATGGCAGGCGGCAAAGAGTGATGACAGTTAGCAGAAATAAGTGTCTTGATAAGCTCAGGGTTACTGTTAGACCTCATGAGAAGGCCATGTTTGTTGTTTTGCGGTGAAGACTGCAATAAAGCCATTGTTGGGAACAATGTTGGCATCCTAACGCCTCGCCATCCATCCCTCTGCAGAGAGGTCCGGACCACTAGAAGGTAGTTACCAGCTAAAAATGAGCCAAGCTAAATTAATGTTAATAAGCAAGCGTGTTCCCAACTACGGTTTGGAGTCAATAAGCTGTCACTGACGGAGGTAACACTACGGTGGCCAATGCAAAAATGCAAATGGCCCTATCTAGAGCCAGTGTTTGGTTTGTCCGTTCTGGGCTACTACAGAAACAGGCAACATGTTGATCTCTCGATAAATGACAACCTGCTCCCTGAGTAGATATAAACAGCTCATTCTAAGGTAACAAAACACAAAGATTATTATTTTCAGGTGACAATGGGCCAATGTATGCCCCTAAATCCTACACTCTGGACCTTTAAGATTTTGAACCAGCTCAAACTCAAGATGTCCGTTTTCCTTGTGAACAATCTGAAAATGTGATGTTTAATACTGTCTTTTCATACTGATTAATTGGATCCCATAACACCTTAACTATTCAAATTTCTTGGATGTAGTATGACAAGTTCCTTTGGTTTCACTGTACATTCCCACATGGGCAAAAAAAATCCCTAAAAACTGTACTACTGAATTCATTATTGACATTATAATATGACATTCATCCTGCTTTAATTTGGTAATAATGGACTTTCTCTGTGAACTGGATTAGCCTGGAGAAATCCTGTGAGTGACACGCTGACAACATGAACTGACATCTTTAACTGTTCAGCTCGATGAAGATCTGGACACCAATTATCTGTCTAACATGCGTCTGTCCCATGATGAGCTGAGCTGGAGTAAGCCCACAGGGATTTGTCATAAGGAGTATATAAGCTACGTGAACATTACATGTCAATCGGACAGCTGTGGTTCTGACAAGTTACTTCTTTTTAGAGGTATTTTACCTGTTACAGAGCAAAGAGTAGACTGCCTTTGATGTTTCTGAAAAGTAAATGACAAATCCACTTTTGTATTCTTCAGCATGACACATCTTTTATCAGCAATAATTATTTGATAATAAAATCTAACGTGGATTCCAAACTGAACAAAAAAACAGGCCATCAAATATGAAATTCATGTATTTCACTTTGACGCTGTAACACTGAGTCGTCATCAGGAGAGAATAAATGATCTATTCTTTGCTATTCTGAGGAGAAGATGAGAATATGCTTCACTGAAGCAGGAAAACAACCAGACAGAATACAAAAACTGAGCTGTGAAGCCTGAATTTTAGGCTGAGCAGTTCCTCTAAGGTTTCCACCTGAGGTTATACTTTATATAAGGAGAAAACACTGATTTTTAATAGGTTGTCATTATTATTATTATTATTATTATAATATCATAGAAACAAGACAAAGTGTGGATAAGGTACAGGATTATCACTTTTCTTTTACATCTCTGTATGAAGGGAGTTATACAAACAAGGATTACTTTTTCAAACTATTAATTATAGCAACATCTGACTTATTTGTTATCATACAGAAAACATCATAACTTAATAAAAGTTACTGTTATCTACAAAGGCTGCTCTGTCAAGATCAAACGAACGAGCTGTTTGCTCTCCGACCACTCGTTGTCCTCATCATTCTGGCGTTATCAGTGTTTGTTGGTATTACTGCTGAAGCCCAGCTCTGTGCTTATTATGTTCTGTACGTTTCATGGCATTTTTCAGATTTTATAATCTTTAATTGCAATTGTTGGAAATGTTTTATAGTAACAAAAAAAATGCCTGAATGTTTTTGCAGGTCAGGTGAACACCAGCACCTCCTAGTGGGTAGAAACTGGCTACGTATGAGGCCCACAGTGTTTGTACTGGACTTAAAACAGTGTAAAGTGAGGGCGTTCTCACACCTATAGTTCCTTTGCTCTGGTTCAAATCAGGGACCAATTTGTGACAGTGTTGCATATTGTCTCGAGTTTGGTTTGTACTCACAAGTGTGCTCACCCTTTTTCCCCCTTAAGGGCGGTGGCCTTGTGGGTAACCTGTGAGGGTGTGACGTGTACTTCAGTGTGTATGGTATGAACCAGCGGCAAAGAGTGATGATTGTCAGCAGAATTAAGTGTCTAGATAAGCCCAGGGCTACTGTTAGACCTCATGAGAAGACTGTGTTTATCATTTTGTGGTGAAGACTGCAGTAAAGCCATTTTTATGAATGGCACCTGAATACCTCGCCATCCTTCCCTCTGCAGAGTGGTACCCGCTAATAACAGGTCACGCTAATTTAATGTTAACAAGCCAGCGTGTTCCCAACTACGGTTCAGAGCCGGTAAGCTGTCACTGAGAGAGAGGGGTAACACAAGGCAGCATTTACAAGTGGACCAAAATTTGTGATGCGTGAAGTTCTCTCTGATTGGTCACAAGTTCCATGCGAAACAATCAAGGAACCCATCGGCTATCGTCCAACGACAATAAAGCCTCTCGGGGGAGCTTTAATATTAGTGGCTGATACAGTGTCTCCAGTTGATATCTTACCCACAATTCCTCTTCCGTGCACTGGTCATATAGTCATATCTACAATAGCCGATATGTTACATTACATTTCGGTGAGCACCTTCTGCCTTTCGACATGGACTGTCACCTGCTATTCAAATATGATTGATCAAAACTACTCGGACTGCAAACAGACAACCAACAAGAACAGTTCTGTTACCAAAATCTTGTCCCGTCACCTACAGATTACAGGTGAGAAAACTTTTTGCGGTCTGCGTGGTGCAGATGGCGCACATGGGGGGGCAGCTGTGGCACAGAGGTAGAGCAGGTCGTAAACTAGGCAGAAGACTGGTGGTTTTTATCGCCGGCTCCCCCAGTCCACAAGTCCAAGTATCCTTGGGCAAGATACTGAACTCCAAATTGCTCCCAAATGGCTGTTCCATCGGTTTGTAAGTGCATGTGAATGGTTACTGAGTAGCAGGTGGCACCATGTACGGTAGCCTCAGCCACCAGTGTGTGAATGTGTGTGTGAATGGGTGAATGTGCAGTCCATTTAGCATTTTCTTGGTTCCTGTGAATGTCTGATCATTCTCACTGACTGCAGTCAAAACGGTCAGGTTATCAAATTTTCAAACTTATTTAGCCGATCAAAGAACCACCGTGAAATTTGAATCGACTTTTACACACTTCCAGGTGTTGTTATTAGCCAATAATTGCAACACCATCTGCGCAACCTCGTCTGCGCTGTTACGTAATCTTGGAGGTGTGTAGATCGTGCAAACCACGCCAAGTTCAAGAACCACGAAACAGTAGTTAAGCATAAAATTATTCATAAACAACAAACATTTTATAGTTAGTATTTTCCTGCTGTTTGGTGCTTTGCCATTTTTTGTTTGGTGTCAAACATCAGTTTCACCACTATGTTTACAATAGAGTGTTGGGAAATGGAGCTGGCTTACAAATGGCCACATAAGTCCCACACCACTAACAAAATGATGACATCGGTGCCAGCAGTCCTTCAGAATGAGCACAGAGCAAATTTGTCTTTGTGGGTGGCAGCAGGCCCAGTGACACTAAAATGAAAGATAAAGGTATACATACAACTAGGAGTGTGTGTATCGCATGTTGCATTACAGAAACAATGCAAATAGGAAAGATGAGTGAAAAGTGACTCTTATCAATTTTCAGTGCAGTGAACATAAGGAAACAAACCCTACTGTTATTAAACTCTCTTTAATGTATATGTATGATGTAAGGAAGCACAATTTAATAGCCATTGCCTGCAGTATTTTACTAAGAAATCTAACTAACACATTTTCCATTACGATGGGATGATTAGTGTTTTACTTTGTAAGTAATTGATCTCAACAAAGTAGGTTAATGTGTTGAATGCCTGTAACTCCTATGTGTAATGTAATCAAATATGTAACCTACTTTAATGCAACAACCCCCCTCCTGCAGCTTTGCATAAACTACAAAAGGAATAAAGTAAAAATATTAACATCTTGGTACAGTGTACAATCACAGTTTCACAAATCTGTATTTATGATAAAAAGCATAGCTGGTAACAAGTATTAATGTGGCCCTAGTACACTTTACAGATCCACCCACACACATAAGCATGTGAGGAAAGACTCATTTTGGTACACACGTGCACACACACTATTTCTGGGCTCTTTTATATCACCCAGATGCACGCAGCATCTTGAACGCACTGCACTCTGACATGCGTGCATTTCGTAGCGCTTAATGCACATGTACAGCATGCAGCTTTGTTGATTGTTTTGTAACTGTGTGATGTATGCCCAAATTCAGATAATCCTGCATCCCACTCGCAGCTGAATGTAATCTGGGTCTGAGTCCCAGCCAGACATTGGATGGGAGGCCAGATGCTGCAAGGAGGGCAGAAACACTGAAAAACTATCTGTATGTCAAATGACAGTGTAAAAAGATGGTTGAACTTAAGTATAGATCACTCAGAAATAAGTGTTTTGTGTATCTTAATTTGAGGTAAATGTAAAAAAGAGCCAAATTTAAATACTTAGTGGAATAGAGGCTTAAGTAAAACAAGGAATAAAGTCACCTCAATGCTCTGTCTCTCCTCGGTCTAAAGGTCTAAATCTCCTTGGTCTAAAGGTCTTAACAGGAAGATCAGGTGTCTCTCTGTTGCTTCAGGAAACAAACACCCCTCTTCTCTTCTGCATTGTTCGTCTTCCCTGTCCTCACATCTTGTCCCCTCTCTAATCTGTCTCTACTCTCTCACTGCTTCTTCTTCATCACACCATACTGTACATTTCACAGTGGCTCTTGTGTCCCTGTGCACCTGCCAAAGCACATTGAAGTAAAGAAAAAGTGGACCAGGAGTGATTTAGGTCAGTGGTTCAGGTGAGCAGCACAGGTTAAAAAAACAGCCTGTCTGTACTACATGGATCAATTCACTGTCTCTTGACCCCCGTGATGGCATCTTGGTGTATATGTGTGTGTGTATGCACGAGCCTCTTCCTGTGCCCGTGTGTTGACAGCGTGTATAAGTGCATTCAGCATTTAATCGTGACCGATTTAATTAATTTCCAGGCAGACTGCTGAGACCCAGACTCTCCCTAATCACTTCAGATCTTTAGCCATGCCATCACTCTCATCCTGGGCTTTTTTTTAATGCTGGGCCATTAATTGATTGAATACATGTGGTGAGAAATAAAGACAATAATGAATGATTACTGTATGCCCATTTAAGCCAGACTCTGCTGAATATGGATTTTTTTTCAAGATCAGGGTGTTATTTTTAAACTGAAGCTGCCAATAGCTGAAAATGTGTGCCAGTTTACAGAAGCATAGCTCTGACCTTGTCATAGAATTACAATGAAATGGGGATCTTAAAAATACATGCACATATTTTGACAGAAAAGAGGGTGCAAATCCATCTGAAACTAACACAAAAACGTGGAGGTAATCAGACTTTTTACAGGTGGTCACATGATCCTTGAGGCAAAATGAGACTGGTGTGCAGCTGACACCAGTTAAGGATCCATCATCCTATCCGAAGTCGACATCCACGACTAATACCAGATTTTCTGAAGGCCAATATCATCCCAATTCATCTGCAATCTGTCGGCCTTACCCTTATTCTAACCACCAGCTGATTCTGAGCAGGCCTCAGTCAGTTATCTTTACAGCACACTGAGGCCTGTGCTGAAGTAACGTGTTAAAATCCCTCAGATCTTTCCGTTTGCACGCACGATCCCACTTGATGTGCCATCCCGTCCCTTCGGCCCAGCTGTCAAATTCTCAGAAATGTCTGACTGGTGCGTCAAAACCTCGCCATTTGCCATTTTTTTGCCAAAGCTTTTGCAACCACCTCCCCTGTACCTGCCCACTCCCACTCCCACCCCACCCGGGGTCCCCATACACCTCGCCATCTCCATTCCTCCAGAGATAAATGCCGGAATGCTCCATCAGTCGTTTCACCTTCACCGCGCATCAATAACATGGCCACAGCGGCTTTACAGGGATGGACGCTGGCACGGCACCGCACGCCACGGCGCGGCTTACACCAGCCATTTCTCCCTCAGCACCACAGCTCCTCTAGAGCATCCGTCATTTTTGCACCAGAGCAGAGGACATTTATTTATCCGCCACAGTGAAAGCCTATCATATCACTTCAGGGCTCGTGATGCAAAATGTGAAGGGCACAGCCATGCCTGCGCCGGCTGCTGATGTAACTACAGCCACCAGCTTTATTATCTCTCGGTTTATTCGGTGGATGCTTTGGGCTGATGGAGTGTCGTGTGCATGAAAAATGATGACGGACACGCAGTCAAGCAGATACGGGATGTCGACATCACCCTGGCCGCACTCTTGTAATTCTACTCTCGGGCGACTGGCCACAATGTCAGCGCTACGAAACCAGACGGATAAACGCGCACACATCCTCCGCTCCTCACACACACTCACACACACGGATACTTACAATTCCTTTATGAGCATTTTCTTGTTGGCGGTGCAGTATATATCCAAGAGGGGAGTAGCTTAATACAGGTCCAGAAACAGGGTCGATCCCTCCCTCCGTTCGTCTCTTCTTTCTCCGCTTGCTTCTCTCCCACCTCTCCCCCTCTATGTCATCCTACCTCCACAGTCGCTTATTTTCTTCAGATTCACTTCCTGATCGGGGCCGCGGCGCGGCGTTGCTGTTGCGCGCAGAGCACCGAGGCCTGTGCAAAGCACACAACACACAGAAGAAGGATGGTTCACCTGGGGGTGGCTTGTGGTCGCTGTGGTGGTTTCATACAGCCTAGACACAATGACTGAGTGGGACTAATTGAGACAACCAGTTAAATTACATATCTGTAAAACTGGATGTCTCAATTTATTTTTTGATTCCAACCTACTCATTAAAAAAGCATATTAACTGATCACAGTCTGTGATCAGTTAATATGCTTTTTTTAAATATTTTATTTTCAAATTTTCAATTTAACAAAACATACACAACACACACAAACATGGCTCCAGAGCTCCTCCCTGGACCCCCCCCCCCCCCCCCCCCCCCCCCACACACACACACACACACAAACCAAAAGAGGACCCAACTCAAAAGGAGTAGGTTGGAATCAAAAATTAAACTGATAATACAAATAAATACTAAATTTTAAAATTGAATAAATAAATACAACATAAAGTAAGATGCTATGTAAATAACCCTAATGGTGTATCTGGTATCTTTTTTATAATCTGATAGAGGTGTTGGTAAAGTATCAATATATCAAGTAGAGCTGCCAAATCTTCAGAGAGGTGTTGTATTCATTTCTTCATTCATTCTTCTCAAGTGGAATGCAGCTGTTCACCTCCAAAAGCCACCTGTCTATGGGAAGATGGGAATCAGACTTCCACGCCACCACTATGCAGTTCTTGGTATTGACAATGCATGTGCATTTGTTATGCTAACTGTACAAACCATCATTTAATAAAGCTGAAATTAAATTTTGTTTAAATTAGAATACGGTATATTATATAGCCTATCCAAACTTTTGTAAGACAGAGAAGGACCATGCTGACATAAAATATGATTTATTATAGATATTTTATTTATATTTCTCGCACTTATCTTTCTTCTATAGTACTCTATTAGGAACTGGTTTACTTTACATCTTGTATATTTTGCTTTTTTAATGATATTTAATACTCTGGGGGTTTTTTTTAGTGAACATTAATTGCTGTTACTGTATTTTGTGTTACTGTAATTGAAGCATTGTGGCACAAACATTTCTTTTGGGTTAAATAAAGTTCAGTTGAATTGAACTGAATAATCTTCTTCAGGAGTGGCCATGGCAGCAGCACCAGAACACACAACACAGGTTACAAACCATATAAATTGTATTATTAATAATTAGATTGAGTAAGGAGAGGTTAATCAGTAATCACAATAATAAATAAATAAAATAAAATTAATAAATAAAAAGATAAAATTAAAAACACCAACACAACATCAGACAAACTATAAAAAATAAAAAAAAAAATCCACAGCTCAGATAAAATAACATCGCATCTCTGAGATTCTCTGAACCATTTCTCTTCAGAGTGTGCTACACCCTCTACACAGTCACGGTGACGTAGAAGCGTGGTTATTCACCATCAGAGTATATATGGGCATGACACGGGGACCACCACCGCTGGCACAGACGCACGGTGCGTCAGCTCTCTAAGCCCTTCACACAAAGTCCCCGCATCTAATGTGATTATCTGCCTCCAGAAATTCCAAAACCCGCTCATGTCCACTAGATATCTGCCACTGATGACTTTATTTTACATCACAAACACATTTCTGGGTGTTTGTCCAATCACGACCATGTGCGTTAGAAGATGCAACCATGGAGGCAGGCTTGTACATCCATCCTCATACATTCACAGAGGAATTGCAGGCTGACCTGTTATTCTCCCAGTGACCCCTCGAGGTCCCCCGACCACGCTTTGATCCACCACCCACGGCTCTATAAGATTGTGTTGGCGCGTGACGCGATGACAAGGCATCACAGGTCCCTAATCCAGCCCCACGTCCCGGAGATGGCGGGATGTGAGTGCGTGTGTGTGAGTCTAAAATTATGTAACAGCGCACTGCTGCTGTATTTATAGCGCATCTGTATCCGTCTGCCAACATCCGCTTATCATTCCTCTGTCTTCTCATCTGTAGGACCCCATCTAACTCCTGCCTCCTCTCTATCTATCTATCTATCTATCTATTGCATATGTCAACAAGAAGTGTTCCTTTATTTGTCTCATTGATTGGGGATAAATTGAAAGTGTATGCAGTGGCTGATCTTCCTAATGGGGCCACAGGCAGCCCCCCACACCCCCATCCTCCAAACAAAAAAAGCAAAACCCATCTGGGGTGCAAAATGTGCTGGGTCTGGTCAAATAGCTCAGTGGAACATGATGTGACTGGTCCACTACTTGCTTTACAGTGACTGCATAAGCCAGTGGTCTCATGTTGCCTCTTTGAACTGTGTACCTGAACACACCGCAGGGGTCTGCCAGCCAACAAACAGTTGCCTCCCCAGCAGCAGCAGCAGCAGCAGCTCCAGGAGCCACTGTGCCTGATGTGATGTGACGTTCTCAGATCTATTCTCAGGTGACGGAGGAGGCCGAGGTGTCAAGTGATAACCATCTGCTGGAGCGTAGTATCAGATGGCAGAGCAGAGTGCTGACAGACCTGGTGGAAAACCAAACGTGTAGTGAGAGTGTGTCGGGAACATCTGGTGATAAACTGCTCAGAATCAGTCTTAATCTCGCATCTGAACAAGCTCCCATGGAGACATGGAGTCAGGCAGAGACACCTTGCTCTAAAACACTGGTGTTAAAACAGATTAGCATTTCACATGTGGGTACTCTCAGGATAAATATAACATATGTTATGTATGAAAACTGTGGAGTTATACTGAGCTGCGTGTGTTGAAATCAGTCTCAGTGTTCAGATTTTTGTAGGCTGGTTTAAATGTTTGGGAAATTAGGTTCTGTACTTTGTCAGCTTGTTTCAAATCCTGGTGCTTGTGTATCAAAACTTCACTAAACCTTGACTAATTCTGCGGTAATTAGGCCTTAAATTTGGACAAGAATGTACCCTTGATTTTTCACTGAGTGTGATGGCACTCAAAAACATGCTGCTATTACTGACATCTGCTGGTTGGATGCATAACAACCTAAAACTCCATCAGTTGCAGATTTGTTTCATATTTATTTTATACCTTTTCAGAATTTTGTGACACCTGTGGCATGAATGTCAAATACAGGCACAGATTGTAAAACACAAATCACTAAAACTCAGTTTTGTCCTCTCAAACCTGAATTTCAAATCACAGTTACAGCCTAACAAGAGATTGTTAAAGCCCAAACCTTTCTGAATGGGGGCCAGATTAGATGATGTGGAAAAACCTGAGGGCCACCAGCTGCTTCTTGCATCATATGAGTTATTTAAAACATACAAACAAACAAACAAAAATCACCTACAAATGAGACAAATGCAACTTTTTTGTAATCTTGTAGTGAAAATGTATTCAATTTCCACTGCTCCTGAAAGCAGCGGCTGTCCCTGCTGACTTTATGCTTCTTTTCTGTGGTCATGCCTGGTAGTGATGGGCAAAGCAGTTCTTTAGATGTTACTGAATCACAAGAATCAGTTCATTAAAAAGATTTGTTCAAGAGTTTCGTTCAAGAGATTTGTTCAGTGCTTGGCAGGAGGAGCCCTGACTGTGTACTGCGTAGTCTGACTCACTGAACTGATACGCGGTTGAGCTGCTGCTGCGTCTGCCCTGCACTGGTGAGTCTCATTATTGGCCAGCCTAATGTTTTAAGTTTGTTTATCTGGAAACTAAGTCTGTTAAAACAATGGGGAGGTGTGTGATTGTGTTCATGTGGTTTGACTCCTGGCTACATTAGCCATTAGCTTGGAGAAAACGGTCCCTATGAAAGTGTATCGCTGAGAAGAAATGATTTGAATCACTCAGGGATAGGGGTTACGTCGTTCACCGAGTGATTCATTCACCAAGTGATTTGTTCACCGAGTGATTTGTCACAAGGTAGGCAGTCCCTCCCTGCACCCTGGCTGCCTTGCGACTAGCGAGTGATTCACCGTTTGCACGGACCGAATCGGCAGTTCCGCTCCCGGCCTGCACACTTGCTGCTGAGCTCAACTAAACTCAGAAATAAATGAATCAGTTCCAGAAGTGATTGAGTTCAGTACGTTCACTCGACAGATTTGTTCTTTTGAACGATTTGTTCACGAACGACACAACACTAATGTCTGGTACATAGCAGGAAATGTCTGTTGCTACGTAACTGTTAGTTTCAAGTGGGTATATCTGCAGCTGGAATAGCTACATGACTCACCGACCATACCTACACGTCAGTCCATCAGATCCCCTCGCTCTTTGGCCCGGAAGCAGGAGTCCCAAAGAAACTGCTAAGTTAGCAATTAGCTATTTATGAAGTAGGCTATTACGTTAAAAGAGAGGCAGTAAAGGTTAGGATAAGGGTAATGGGAAGGCTACATCTAGTTACTCATACTAATGAGTTAGCAATTAGCTAACGTTAGCTATGAAGTATTATGTTAAAGGAGAAGTGGTTAAGGTTTTGGTAAGGGTAATGGGAAGGGTTACATTTTATTACTTCTAAAGTGAATCACGTCTTTATGTATTATGAATGAAAAAGAGGATTATTGCTACATTTGGTCTCATTTATTCACCACTGCGTGGCATTGAAGCAGGGTTCAGATAACGGTTGCATTAGTGGGTTTGTCCTGTAGTGGTTTGTAGGGACTTGTTTGTTTGCTTGTTTACCATCGTTCCGCTTGTGTAGTTCCTACTCGGTGCATGTCTGTGAACTGCATTGTAGTGCTGACATCCTGAGGTGAACAAAAAAAATACAAAGTGAATATGCTTGATAAACCATTTGTGTGTGGCGGGCCACATTTAGTACATCTTGAGAGACAAGCTGCGGGCCATTAAAATCAGTCTGTGGGCCACACTTTGGACAGCCAGTTGCAGCCTTATGCAAGACACTATCTAATTTTTATCAGTGGACTCACAACTAAGCATTTTGAAAAAGAGGTAGTAGAGACACAATAAAATCATGCAGCCATAGCAATGTCCTTGCATAAGCTACTGCTGGGTTGAGATCTGTTCTGTTATAATGTCCTCACACTCAGACTGTGAGTGTTGAATAGCCACAGGTAAGAATTACACA